CATCAATGATCTTATCAAATATCTTTCTTTTTTTTTTTCTTTTTTTTTTCTTCATAAAACTTTAAGGAATTTTTAAGAACCTGCGTATACTACGGACTTTTGACCAACTGCTCATTGAGCCTCCTCAACCTAAAGCCTATTTACCCCATTCCGACAAGACTTAGCTATGCCCTATTCCTATCCTACTAGCTAGCCCCCTCACTAGTAGGACGCGAATATCCACCCATCTACTAGGTCATCGCATATCCTTGCAAACTCCGTCCACTGCCTTCTTCTTCCAACGACGAGCCGACTTCCTCCACCACATAGTTCGCCAGATGAAGAACAGCCGCGAGAGATGAGTTCACAGGATCTCCCAACCAGCAGCAGTACACAAAAATCTTCGTCATCTCACGACGAGCCGACCTCCTCCACCACATAGTTTGCGAGATGAAGCAAAGACAGCCTACACAGAAATCATCAGAAATCCCTCCCGCTTTCCCAGAACCCCCTACTCTTCATCATCTTCCGATGAGCCGACCTCCTCCACCACATAGCTCGGAAGATATGAACAGTAGCCGAACAACCTAACCCGGTCCCATTGTGGTTGAGAGTAGACTTCTACTATTCGTCTTCCTTCGACGAGCCGACCTCCTCCACCATATAGTTCGAAGAAGAGGAATAGAAGTAGTTCACTCACAAAAGGTAGTAATAGGTACCAGCAAAAACTGAACACTATAAAGACAACTTTCCGAGAGAAGGCAACGAAACCAAAACCAAGGTGGATTGACACTCAACTATCCTAACCTCAAACCAGCATCGACCTCCCTCCTCAATATCAAGACTCTTCAAGGCCACCCACCCCCATCTACTGGGTGACGAGGTAGCGCGACCTACCCCAGAAAACTCCCATCTGTAAGGTTACAGGGTGGAACGACCCACCTCGGCTCCGACCCGCATCGTCTTGATACCAGCCCCAAACAACCACAAAACCACCTTCCCCCTTAGGCAGTTCCTTGGACCTCTTACCAGGCCTCCAGAGCCCTCGTCACGCTCGAGTTACAGGGCAGCACGATCTAACCCGCAGCTCCGACCAGCATCGTTCCAACTCGGCCGTCCGAAAACAAAGGAGTGGAAGGCAGATAGCACAACATCAACTGAACAGCCAAGCATCACCTCAACCCGGGTTTCAGGTTCAATGACACTCGACTCTCCTATAACTTAGTAGACAAGGATATAGCCAAGATTAGGATGTCACCCAAAACCTTAAGTGGAGAAGGACTTACAACACGAGGTTGGGTTTCACCAACCACCTTGTACAAATTTACGGAAGTTTTTGGAAGTGGAGTTTCGCCAATTTTGGAGACTTTCACAGAGGCCCACATAACCTAGGAATTTGAGGTATAGAAATTAAGGAGTCCGTCAACAATGATAGCACTGAAAATGACTTGGATTTTAGAAGAACCAATCATGGAACTTAATATTGGTAAAACGTTCAGAATTGCGAGTCTATCAGAAACAAGTCTGATTTACGTATTTAACTTTGCAATTATATTGGTTTCTTAGAATTAAGAATTGACAATTGTATTAGACTATGGAATTAAGAAAAATCGCGAAGATAAAATTCGCATTTGAATAATTAGACAGGGACATCATTTAGCAGATATAACTATAAGAATTGGGATTTAATGGATGAAAATCGAATTATGAGAATCAGAAATAGGGACCAGACTCAAATCAAATTGTTAGTCAAAAACTGAAAAGACTAGATGCTGGAGCAAAATCCTATCAGACAAAATCTACTCAATCAGAACAATCATCTTAGAAAAACAAAAACATAGCGGGAGAAAGAGTACCCCACGTCCCAACACTTCATAAACCACCCCTCCCCCCTCCAAACCTCACCTCCTCCTTCATCGGCTTTGTGATAAAAAACTGGCCACCTTATATCAGGGCGGAGCGCGGCGCAACCGGGAGCGCTGCGCCCCGCCGCTATGGTCCTGTCGGTGCGCTGCGGAGGAGCCAGGTACGAGGCGCGGGATCTTATCAAATATCGATCTTCCTTTAATAAAAAAGTTGCTTGGTCTGCTTTTACTGCGTCCGGGAAGTACTTTTGCAGCCTGCAGACTAAAATCTTTTCTAATATCTTATATGAAACGTTTAGCATCGACCACATGTGGTTAACGAAGACCCCCAGTTTCAGCTCCTGACTAACAGGTCCAAAACTGAAATTAGGGTTTGGGGATCAAGGTTGTTGTGTACCAAATTTGGTCTCATTTGGAACATTGGAATTTCCTTTGCTAAGATTTCTGAAATTTCTCAAGATTTCAAAAACTCAATGTTGGCGAAATTTGCATGAAAGTACACTTTTGCCTTACTGTTTTATAGTGTTTTTTTTTTTTTTGCAGTTAGTAACTATGGTCTCTACTCAATGACTTGGTGGCAAGTTTGGTCAAAATAACCGTTGGATTTTATTATTAATGACATGACAAGTTGTCGGGAAATTAGGGTCTCCGTTAACCACCTCTCAAAAAGAATGGACAAACAAACAGATGAGAACGACATTCACTAAACTTTTGAGAAGGTCAGTAGTGGTAGACCGGAGAAGAAAGGTCAGTAAGGTAAGGAGCTGAGATGCAGGGATTAAATGGTTTGAGGAAGCAAAGGTGGCAAGATAACCAAGATAGAAACCTGGGAGAATAGTACTAGGTAATTGGTTTGCAAAAGGGTAGAGTCGGATAGAGTAGAAGAATAAAGACTAAAGCAGTCGATCGGCGGACCTTGGAATTGTCACATGAGACAAGCAAAGGGAAAGTAGGCGAAAGGAGTTTTGGAATGAGAACTGTCGAATTAGACGGCACATTAGGATAAATAAAAAGTAGCGTAGTAAGAATTGAGTAAAACAATTTGGGCTAATGACATTTAATAATTGATTGAAATCGACTTGTTTTTTTTCTTCTATTTGCATTGACATAGAAAAATACCTCTATGAATTTAGACTATTGAAACTTCAAATTGTTTGGCTTTGTTGGTCCTGGTGGCAACTATTGTTGTATAGCTCATAGTGAGGATTCATGACAGAGGTCCCTGAGACTGAATCAGAAACTGTTCCTAGATTATGGTGCCCCTCTGAAGCCTAAGCTGGCTGATGCTATCAGTAAGTTTATCTGGGTCGAATTGTGAGGATCCCTGGCCTTGTTGAAACGATTGTGAATAAAGTGTCTGGTTTAAACCACTAGTACCTTTGTCGGTTCGAAAAATCGCGGGCCTTTGATCTTTCAGGAGGCCAGAACGAAGCAACGACCGCCGATCCGATTTATGAACGACAGCAGTTGTCGGGCCCTACCTCCTAAAAGTTTGGGACTAGGCTAAAACTTATCAAAACTGGACGGCAAAGGTACTCATGATTGGAAAAAAAAAAAAAAAAAAAAACTAAGAAGATTTTTATGGTCGGCCGGTTCTGCCCGACCGAGCATCTGGGCGTGCCCCCCCCCCCCCCTTTTTCTTTGTGGTTTTCTGCGCTCTCCTCGAGGACCCCAAATTTGGGCTCATTTCTTGTTTTGAGAGTTGGCTTTCAAGGGGGGGAGGGGGTATAAATTGGTTTTTAAGGGGCTCAAGGGGTTTAAAGGGGGGGGTGCCTTAGTGTCATTCTGTCATTTTATTTTCTTATCTCCGTTTCCGTGAGGAATTCTAATGTGACCCTCAACCAAAATTCGTTTGTATTGCAATTCTACACAACATTTTTTTTTTCTGGATTTTTTTGAATTTTTTGAATTTTTTGTTTTTTTTTGTGTTGGGGCTGCCGGAACCCTGCCCGGAGGTCATGCCCGGCTGGGCACCCAGGCGGGTACCTGGGTATGAGTTGGGTGCCCGGGCGCCCGGGAAAACATCCTACTAGAAAAAAGTGTTATGCGTTTCCTCCCCCCTCCCGTGTGGTCCGATGGACCAGCGGCCTAGCTCAGTTGGTAAGGCATGCAAGTGGCATTCCAGAGGTCTTGGGTTCAATCCCCATTTGCCTCATGTACCTTCCTGGGCAAGCTTGGCGCCCGCCACCTAGAGATATGTTGGTGGTCCTGTGAGTCGCATTGAGCAGAGACTGCCATTGTTCATAGGGGGAAGGGACCGGAGGGAAGGCACAGAGACTGGCCCAACGAAGAAGCTCGGTCTTGATGCTACCGGCTGACCCCTGGCCTGTATAGCCCCCGTAATACTATAATGACAATAAAAAAAACCTGAAAGGCCGTCCTGTCCAGATTCGACAGGTAATTGATTTTTTTATTTTTATTTTTTGCCCTTTCCTCTTCTGTTTAGGTTGTTATTTAGGGACTCGTTACACACTCCTAAAAGAAACCTAATTTTTTTACGACAAGTCCTAAAGCTTTTTTAGGATTTCGTGCGGTGTCGTTACACGTCATCCTAAGAATCGTCTTTTAGGATTCGTCCTAAAAGGTTTCCCACGGCCTCTTTTCATATGCGTATACAAAGCCGCATCGCCGATGTCCGTCCGTTCCTGGTTGGTGTCCGTGGTACACACTACGGTGGGCCGTCGTCGGGTAGGGCTCTTCGGTGAAAAGTGCGCGTAGCCGAGGGACTTTGAAAATTCAAATTTGAAATTTGGCGGACGCAGGGTGGCGGGGCAGAGGACGGGCAGGCGGCACGTGCGACGTAGAAACAACGGCGCTGGTGAACCCTTCGGCGTGGGTATCCATCTTTGGAGTCTGCGCGACTGGTGACCAGCGGGGGCATGTTCGACGTCACCAGCAGCGACCGCACCTTGACCTCCGGCGTGCGTATTGTCTTCCACCGTCGTAGAGCAACGGGCGCATCTTCGGGTACGGCGTGCACTCTCCAGTCGCAGTGTGGAGCAGCAGGCGCGTCTTCGGCTCCGGCGTGCGTATTCTCTTGTGGCAGCGCTCTTTGTCGGCCGGCGCATCTTCGGCTCCGGCGTGCGTCGTATCCTGTGCCAGCGTGGAGCAGCGGGCGCATCTTCGACTCCGGCGTGCGTGGTCTCCTGCGGCAGTGTTGAGGTGGTGGCGCATCTTCGGCGGTTGTAGACACGCGTTACGGTGCACAGGCGGAATGATTATCGGAGATGGACGTTCGCGGCTGCGGGCACGGGCTGTGTGAAGAAGAGAGCGAGGTTGTGGTGATGGCGGTGATTGCCGTTGTCCTGAACGCGATGAGCGACATGCCGTCCTCCTCCCGCGACATGCGTTTGCAGCTCCGTAAACGAAGAGCGTTGTTGCAGAGCGTTGTCGAAGTGGCGGATTGCGTGGCGACGTGCGAAGCAGTCGTGCCGTTGTGTTCTGCGCTGTCGTCTGGATTTTTCCGCGACAGACCCCGCGTTGGTGGATTAAACGACGCACTGGCGGAACATGGGAGGACCTCCGGCTGTGTGATGACGCCACCGAGGACTACTACCGCGTGCCTGCATGCCCGCCATCGGACGTTCCCCTGCCGCCGTTTCGTTGACGCCCTTCTCTTGCGATGTTGTTTCCACGGCCGGCACGACAAACACACGTGGAGGAAGACACCGATCAGGAAGACGATGACAGCGAGTACCAGCAGAGGCAATCTCCTCTGCACGTCAGCCGTCAAATTCACCTCGGGAGCCACCCTTGCACGCGACTACTGCAGAAGTGTCTTCCGACATGTCGGGGATAGGGCCACTCGACCTTCATACGCCGACAACCTGCAGAGAAGACGACAAAGGTGCCTGCCTTCGATTCGAAAATCGACCGTTGGTGCCCACGCACTGTCCAAAGCGCCTCGGTATGTCGTCCTGCGCACGTCCTCCTCCTCCTCCGCTTCTCGCAGCCCAGCCAACAGTCCACCACGGACGCCAGCCCGCCCCCGCTTGGCCCCCCCCGCGCTCCATCCCCTCTGCCAACGGCTACCGTTCGTGGCTGTCGCCCGCGTTGAGCCGCAGAAAACCTCCAATGTCCGACCACTGACTCGACGGACCGCTTCTGGACCACCCAACGAGTGTCGACGGTGCCATGCGCGCGACGCAACGAGTCCGTGAAACGCGGGAATCCTAAATTTTTCAGTAGGTCGGGGGCTACTGGAAAATTTAGGACGATTTTGCCTGGGGAATCCTAAATCCTTAAGGACTCGTCCTAACGCCGTTTTCACATTTTCGATCTCGAAATTGGATTTAGGATTGAAAAGATGCAATAGGAGTGTCTAACGAGACCCTTAGTATAGCTCGTGCTTAGGTAGAAGTGAATCCCTCAGGCAATGCCTGTGAGCTAAGCTGGCTGATGCTGTCAGCTACAATCGGGGTTGAATTGTGAGGTCCCCCGCCTCAAATTTGCTATCTGGTAATGAATGTGAATGAGACTGGTTGTATATATCGTCTATCTGGTTGTATATATATATATATCTATTTGTGACGATATATACATATATATATCTATTTGTGACGATATATATATATATTTCTCTCACCTCACCTCATTTGCCAACGTCATGGAACATATCTTTCTTTTCAGAACCTACCACTACTCCTAAGGCTATACAGGGGACCCCTGCCAGCATAGCTTTCTACCTCTCTTCGGTGAGGGGAGGTTACCTCTCTCGGTGGAGAGGGGTAACGGCATGTTTGCCCTCGGTGGAGAAAAGATCAGATATTGGACTGCTCAGAATAGATACTACGAGTGATCTTAGCCAAAAGGCCGAGAAAGGGCTGCAGGCGCGACACGGCGGTTACCGTCAAGCATACGTCCCCGTCCTAACCCACACGAAAACGATGGCGCGCAAAAGACCACCCGCGTGCCAAATTTCCCAAAATGTAGCCCCCCATTTGCTATGGCGGCGCTCCATTTTGGAAAATTCGGCAGGAGGCCGGTGCTTTGCGCGCCATCGTTTTCGTGCCGATTAGGATTGGGACGTACGCTGGACCGTCGCTCCTGCAGAAGGGTTTTAGTGGGCCATACAACTTGAATAAGCGGTGCTACACTCGTGTAGCGAGGGGCAGGTGTTGGGGGTGGCGCCGTGGTCGCCGCACTCCAGCAGCTGACTTGCTGCTACTTGCTGTAGCACATCGAGGAGCGGAGCGGCGCACAACATCTCAAGGAGTGAAGCACAGGGCTCAGAGTAGCCAGGCACAGAGTGGAAAGGAGCTGGGAATGGTGCTGCAAGGAGCAAGACAAAGTGCTGCAAGGAGTCTGTCACGCAGTGCAACCGTGAGTCGACCATGTTCTTTTGTTGTTTGGATGTCCAATGGGTCATGTACTTTTTTTTTCTTTTCTTTTTTTCTCTTCTTTTTTTTTTGTACTTTTCTTTTCTTCCTGCATGTCTTCAAGATAAAATACAAGGCTTTACCATTTGCCATCTGGTCATAGCGCCTCCTTTTTTTCTCTCCCTTTTTTGTGTTTGTGGGTAAGAGAGAGAGAGAGAGAGAGAGAGAGAGAGAGAGAGAGAGAGAGAGAGAGAGAGAGAGAGGTTGTTCTTCTTGGTTGATGGTCGATCTATGCATGTCGTCTTTGCGGAGGGGCAATGTCAATCTTTACTGCATCGTTCGAACTTCTACAGATTTGGCGATGGACTTTTTCTCTGGTCTCCTCCATCTTTCGTCGAAGCGGAAGACGGAGAACTGTACAGAGTGCTACGCGTGCGTGTCTTGCGCACAGGGAGAGACCATGGAGATGTGAGCGAGGAAGGTGAAGAGATATCGTTGCCTCTCTTCACCTTACTCGCTGACATCTCCCGTCTCTCTCTTTGCGCAATACACGCACGTTTGACACTCTGTACAGTTCTCCGTTTTCTGCTCTACGAAGGATCACGGAGGACAAAGAAAAAGTGCACTAAGAAAAATCAATTGCGAAATCCGTTGAGAGAGAGTGCCGATGCTTTTCTTTTTGTTCCCTCTGCGTCTTTCGTGGCCATGCTTTTTCTTGTCCATATGCCAAATCAGCATATTCTCCCTCTCTCTCAGCGGTGTTGCGTGAAGACTTGGGAAGGAGTTCCATTCACACTCGGCCCAGAAAGGAAATGGGTGGGTTCGTTCAAAGTGGCGAAGTGCTCTCTCTCTCTCTCTCTCTCTCTCTCTCTCTCTCTCTCTCTCTCTCTCTCTCACAGAGGTGTTGTGCTCGACGAGGTGGAGAGTTCCGTTCTCACTCAGCCGAATAAAGAAATAGGTGGGTTCGCATGTCGCGGCGAAGTGCCTGCACTCTCGCCGTCCATCCATCCGTCCATTCGTTGAGGGCTGCAACTGCTCTGTTTGTGCGTGTGCGACATTGCAAACGGGACAGAAATTTTGCATGGCCGCTATCGAAAGGGCTACCCTCTTCCCCCGAACACAACGCACCCTCATTTTGACTGTATCGGGCCGGAAACATGCCTTGGATACGTTCATTTTCAGGGTGCGTTATGTTCGGGGGAAGACGGTAGGCGGTGATCATGCCGTGGATTGCGGAGGGGCCGGTGACGGAGCAGTAAGGGGAGGTGAGGTGCCTGATCAGGCAGGGAGGAGAAGGTGAGAGGCCTGCGCTGAGAAAGGGAGGAACAATGGGAGAAGAATGTCGCTATTGCAATCTTGAGGGGCTGGAGACGCAGGAGAAGGACGAAGGGGGAGGAGGGTCAGGATGCGGGATCAGGAGGCCGAGACGGTCGGGATTTGGTCGGTGGGGATGGGGATGGGGCGACGGAGGGGGCACAAGGAGGAGAGTTACGGTGGAAGGTGAGATTGCCGGCGTCGAAGTGGGTGCGGAGGGGGAAGACGTTGTGGAGGATCCTAAAGTAAATGGGAGGAGGGTGCAGGTCGTGGACCCAGTTTTCGAGAAAGCGATGGCCTGATTGGAAGGGGGAGGATCGGGATGTGGAGGAGCTCGGAATGTCAGCCAATCAGGGCGAGAATGTTGGAACTGATGAAGTGCAGGAGAAAGAACACCAAGGCAAAAGGGTAAGATGTTTTATGGAAAGGAGAGAGTGGGATAATGACGAAGCGCCTGAATCACAAGAGAGAGAGAGAGAGAGAGAGAGAGAGAGAGAGAGAGAGAGAGAGAGAGAGAGAGAGAGAGAGAGAGAGAGAGAGAGAGA